TAAAAACCATATTAACTGAATATTAAAATTTGCGTATAACATATACAAATTTAAATTTATTCATAGGTATACATACTTACAGTATTTTAAATCTATCCAAATTTACTTAAACTTGTTAACTGTTCATCAAAGTAATTTAAACACGTCATATTATACGATATCAAACAAAATTGGGTGAATTACAAACAGAGTTCTAAAAGGTTAGGTATTTGATCATTCCATCATTTATGATCGAGTTGCGAAAGCTTCTAGATAGGTATCCTGCATCTGAACCGAATTCTTTATAGTTAAAGAATATCTTACTAGTTGTTTTGAAACAATTAGGAGATTCTCTGCTATTGGGTGGTGGGTCCCACTCATGGGGTCAAATCAATATGTTATAAGAAGAAATATTTGGATATCAATCTCATCGATATGATCGATCTCATAAGAATCATATCAAATCTCATCAATGGAATCACTTTTTTGATAAATACGAGACTTTTAAGTCATACAAGTAAAGAGATATATTTAATGATAAAAATAGATATATTTAATAAATTGCTTTTTTTTTTGTAAAGAAAAAACATATAAAACTTGTGTTTAATTTAACAAAAGTATTTAATAAAAACATTTATTCTAAAAAAATCAAAATAAGACAATACATTTAAATGTGTTACTATATTTAAAATTAAGTTTAATAATTTTGTATATATAGAGTTGGGTTCTGGCAATATAAATATTTATGGGTTGTTTATTTACCTCTTAATAATTCAATTAAAAGACAATCTCTGAATAGTTAAGAGGTGAATCATGTTTGGTAAAAAAACATGTCTCTTAATGGTTCTAAAATACTCTGAATGACTTTGTATCTTGGGTCTCTCTGAACCATTAAGTGCCTTAATTTTTTTTTCAAACAATCATATTTCATTTTTGCATTATATCATAAGAGCCTCTTAATCATTTTTCACCAAATCATTCAGTTACTGCCAAACAAACCCTTAAGCTGAGAAACATAATGATGGATATTCACTCATAGATGTACATTTATGATGAGATGCACTTGATCTATCATCGTATAAAGTAGATTTATGGGTGGATTTGAAATTAAAGATGATCAAGGGTCCAAATCACTTTTTATTCTCACATTAACTGTCATTCTCATATAATCATTTGCGCGTGCGTGCGCGCACGCACACACACATATACATACATGTATTCGTATTATGTTGTTTCTTATAAACAAGTTTAACGTCATAATAAGATATGATCTGCATAGAGGGACCTTTTTTTTTTTTTTTTTGAAAACTCCCCAAATCATGAGATATTTGAGAACTCGTGTATCATGTGTTATTTCATAAGATATTTTTCATCAATAACTATAATTTAATACGGTGATTAACATATGCTTGTTTCATATGTATTTGAATAATAGTGTGATATTTATTAACGTGTTTGTGAAACAAAAAATTCACATAAAAAAGCTTTACATTATTTATTGATGCATATTACTTAAAATTCAAGATTACAAGTAAATTGTGTGTATATACAATTTATTAAATCTCCATGTTTGAATTCGTGTAACTAACTGCAGATAAACATAATCAAATATTGAATAAGTATCTCATTTTAAATATAAAAAATCTAAAATATATTCAAGATAGTTATTGAATTCTAACAAAATACTAATTATTATCTTTATAAACCACAAGGGTGGTGTCTGATTGGTTTGGACTTGGCTCAAAATGTCAAAAGTACCTAAAGGTTCCAGATTAAAATCCAATGAGGAATAAAATTCCTCTTGTGGCCATGGAAGTTCAAATGAGGTGACTCCGAGCTATCTGCAAAGTAGGTTGTCGTCCTGGGATCAGTCGGCTCACATAGCAAGTTGGATATCCAGGTTAATCAAAAATTATCTTTATAGAAAAATTATATTATTAAAATAAACATGAATTACTTCATTATTAAATCTCAATTAAATTATAATGAAATATTGAATTAAAGAAATTACTCAAAAGAAAACAAACACTTTTAAATATCTAATTTGATTTTAAAATCGATACATTTTTTTTTCAAAATTTTATGGAACCTTCAAATTTATATTTTATTCAAAAAAATAAAAACATTATCGTTTTTTTAGTATCCAAAAAATCGTATTATAACTTCAACGAAGATAGAATAAAATGAAACTTTAAAATTAAGATGAATCTCGATGTATTACACATGTATCCTTTTAATTTTGAATTATATAATTAAATTTCGATAATTGTTTACTAGTTGTGTACCCGCGTAATGCGGCAGAAGCCGTAAATTTTAACGATTTTGAAGTTTCATTGGTTTTATTAGAGAAGATTTAACGATGATATAAGTTACAATTGATATTTACATATTAATACAATTTGAATAAATAAGAGTTATGGTTTTAATTACAGTCTATTGATGAAAAAAATTGTATGACAATTTAAAATCCAATACATTTAAAATCCAACATATTTAAACAACTCCATAAATGTATTCGATTTACACCAAGATAAAAAAATCATGAGATCGAGAGCGAGATCGAGAGTTCTAGAACAATTGAATGAGAGATGAATGAGAGAACTTTTAATAATTCATGGTGAATTTAATTTTGAATCTCACATTGGGGGATGGGAAGACGACATAGATGTATGAGAGGGTGAAAATATGAGTGAAATGTGTCAAAAATATATTGGGAACATGAAAAGAAAAAGTAATAATGTGCATTGGTAACTTGTATTATATGTTATTTTAATTGTAGATTAAGATATTTTAAGAATGAATGTATAAAATAGTAGTACTTAATGCATTATGAGTTGTTTTTAAGACTTTGTGCATAAATTTATATTATTTTGTACATTAAAATTTGTTTTTAAAACTTTTGATAAATTTGTTTTATAAAGTAGTATAGATGTGTGAAAAAAAAGGAATTAACGAATAAGACGTGCATCCAACGAGCATTTATTTTATGTCTGATAATTAATGGGAGTAGTCCATTAATAGTTATTAGGAGGAAATGCAATTATGTGGTGGGGTCCAGGGAATAATAATGTAGCCAACAACATTTATCACATTCACCAACGGCCCAGACTCTATACTTCATTTACTCACCGAAATCGGACGATTGAAAGTCTTCCGTCGTTGTGACGCAAATTTCCTAACCAAATTGGGCGTATTATTTAATTCTACCTCCTAACGCTACCAATGCCGACACGTTTTGTTTTAAGTCTATAAAAATATAAAAGATTTGATTATTTATTTTATGACAAATTGAATTATATTTTCAAAACTTATATTTGGGTACCTAAGATAAATGTTTAAACATTTAAGTACTCGGGTAATTGGTTGAAGAATTAACCGATTATTATGCTGATGTGACGAGTGATTTGATACCTAACTCAATATTATTTGTTGGTGTGGTTAGTAACATGAATGTTTTTTAATATAAAATTAGTTTTCAACCGGTTACCCGGATATTTAAATGTTTAAAACTTTACATCTTAAGTATGAAAATGAAAATTCTGAAAGTATATTACCCAAAATATGAATCAAGTTAAAGTACAAAACTTTTTCATGCATTTTACCCTTTATTTTATCCATAAATTTAGGAAATATATTTTTTTAATTCATTCCCATGATTATATTTTAATTAATTTACATATTTTCAAATGATATATTTGGTTACCCGAGTATTTAAATGTTTAAAACTTTACATTTTAGATACCCAAATGGAAGTCTTAAAAGTATGTTACTCAAAATAAGAATCAAGTTAAAATACATTATTTTTTCATGCAATTTGTAAAACATTCAACCGAAAAAAGAACTATTACTTTTAAGTTGATATGATATTTTTTCTAAAAAATGACAGTATATAGTAGTTGTTACAGCTAATGCTTGGCAAAAAAGTTAAATACCTGCAACGCTAACCAGTTCCCTACAAAACCTGCCTTAAAGAAACTAATATAAGGGGATATTTTTGCCTTATTTAACAGTTAAGGTTAGCCGGGGTTTGAGGATGGTTGAACCACAGACTTATCTTGCATTTTGTCAAAGTAACACCACCACTTTACCAGTTACGCTATTTAGGAAATTTTTTTGTAAAAGTATATAATATTTATATATGACAAATGCAACAAATAAACTCATACATTATCCTCACCTATGGTGAGATTTAAACCCCTGACCTTCTTAGAAACTTAAGACTACGATACCGTTAGACCAAAAACTTTTTAATGAATTATTCTTTTTTATATTGCTCCTTTTTATTTTAATAATATATTTACTTGAAAAAAATAGATATGTATTTTGTTATGGTTTTAAAAGTTTTTATCTTTATTTATAGTTCATAATTCATTATTTTATTAAAATATTGCAAAGTAATTAATTACCAATCAATTACTGTTTTATTAAATTAAAATATTACCATATCTTACACTATAAAATTAATAAGTATAAATTATTATCTTACAAATATTTAAAAGTCGTTTACCAAATGTTTATCTGGGTAGTGTTTACGGACAAAATTCAACACTGTCACTTATTTATCGGGTAAGATTTTAGTTCACCAAAAAAGTATCATATGCAACATTTCACCCGATAAACGCTAATAATGGTAGGAATCATCGTTCTTACTTACTGAATAAGACTATCGGTTCTTGTATTTACTTTTACTTGTTAAAATTTTTGATTCTTACCATATACATTTCATAAACTATAATTACCCTTTTTTTTTAATTCTTGGGTACCAACTTGTTGGACAATCTATGCCAAATAGATATTGACCGTAACAATTGGGGTCAGACTTGATAAGGGCAATCCCGTAAATGAGCCGGTTAAAGTCTATGTTGACTTTGACTTGTCAATATTCCATATTTTCAAAATACGTTTATTTAAAAATAGTAATTTATTTATGAAAAAATTAAATTGGTCGGGTTTGCAAAATTTAGTTTTTCATGGCGATCCCAATATTTAATTAATTAAAAATAAATAATTATAAAAGTGAAGGAATTTCAGAAAATATAAAATAAAATAATCAAATCAAATCAAATCAGAAAAAACACACTGCGTCTTCTTCTTCTTCTTCATCTGTCTTCTGCAATCCACAAAGCACGGATTTTTCATCACTGTTGCTGCTTTTCACGTGGGTGCATGATGGTATTTCCACCGACAGATTGAAACCCAGGTAAGAGTTTCTCGAAAAATTCATGGGTTTTGATTTGTATGTAACGGGTCGGACCTGGATTTGCTCAAGGTGTTTTGAATCAATCGATGGGTTGTTGTTGAAACTTGAGCTCTGATTTTGGTTATTTGCTGATTAGCGTTGGAATTTTCAACTTGTTTTTAGGATTGGAAATGAGTGGTGTGTGTTAATCTTCCATATGGATACTGTATCGCTAGGTTTCGTATGAATCTTAACAATGACGACCAAGTGTTTGATTTAATGCTCAAATGGTTGTTTATAGATTTGGGATTTTGTGATTAGATTGAGTATTATCGTCTAGATTGAGCTTACGTTGCTTTCCTTTGTGTGTTTATTAGATTCCATTTTTGTTGTATATGCTTTGTCTGACCGTGAAAGTGGAATTCTCGACTGTTTTTATCGATTCAAGTGCATAATTAGCATCAAAATCGTTATTCAAAATGAATAAAAACTGAACTAGTGTTCTTGATGTTCTGTTCAACAGCTCTAGATTAAAAGGAATCTGATTGAATCAGCCGTTGGTTCGTATCTCAACTTCTTGTGAAACCAAATTGGTTTATGGGGTTTACAAATTCTTGAAGAAAAATTATGTGAATGAGAGCAAAGATGATGAGATTTAAAGAAATGAAACATTTTCACTTCGAAAAACGATGGGCGTTCCCCGTAGCTATAGCATCGATCATATCAGTTTTCCTCTTCGCGATTTGTTTCAATTTGGGGACCGTTTCTTCGTTATACAGATTCAATTCATTCTTCCCGATGTTCAATTCTCATTCTGGCATAAATAGAACGATCACCCATGAAGAAAAGATTCAATCTCCGCCTCCCCCGGCTCTTCCAACTGTTCCTCGATTTGCTTATTTGGTTTCCGGATCAAAAGGGGATTTGAATAAGCTATGGAGGACTCTTAGAGCATTATATCATCCATGGAACTATTATGTTGTTCATCTTGATCTTGAATCACCGCCCGAAGAGAGGATGGAGCTTGCTTTAAGAATCGAAAAAGATCCCATTTTTGCGATGGTTGGGAATGTTTATATGATCTCAAAAGCTAACATCGTTACGTACAGAGGACCCACAATGGTGTCCAACACTCTTCACGCTTGCGCCATTCTTCTCAAGCGGAATAAAGATTGGGATTGGTTTATAAACCTCAGTGCCTCGGATTATCCTCTTGTGACTCAAGATGGTATGCATTTCTTTCTTAAGATCGAGATTCTTTTATTTGATTCATTAAGTCCACATTAGTACCAAATTTTCTTGAACTTAATTGCAGATCTTCTGTTCACGTTTCGTGATGTGAAGCGGGACCTGAATTTCATCGAACACACGAGCCATTTGGGCTGGAAAGAGTAAGGGTATTTTGTTTAGCAGCTTAATAAGCTTAACGAGACTCTCAACATATTCGGTCAGCTATACATAACTGTTTAGTAGTGACTTAATGATATAGATAATGACTTATTCAGTAAACTTCTAGCAGTGAGCTTTATGCAGAAAGCCAAGTTTTTTTTTTTTCCAAATGGGCCCCTCCCAATTAGAAAAACGCTCCTTCCATCTATGGAAAAACCATCCCAAACAAAAACCTCCTCAATTTATACAGACAAATTAAGCCACACAGACAACTTTATCTAGACATGACTTAATGGAAAACCAACCAAACAACCTCTTAAGCACCGTCTCATTCCACACACACACTTATGTTAGGTGCAAGCCGCATCTTAAAACTGTATCTAATTGTGTATGCAGGAACAAAAGGGCAATGCCATTGATGGTTGACCCTGGACTATATCAGAACAAAAAATCAGATATCTTTTGGGTGCAACCGAGAAGGGCTCTGCCGACATCCTTTAAATTGTTTACTGGTATGCATTACGGCATTTAATCAAGATTTTATGCGCTCATTGAATAGCTCACGAACACAGTTACACAGATCATGCTAAAACAGTTTCAAGAATTGAAATTGATAGCAACTACTGATTTCTTTGATTAAGCAAACAATGTTACCTGAAAAGCTAGCTCTTGTTGGTTGATAAACTAGTCATGTTTTGGTATTTACATTTAGGTTTTTACAGTGAACAAATATTCAATTTTTGCAGGGTCGGCATGGATGATTCTATCACGATCATTTGTCGAATATTGCATATGGGGTTGGGATAATCTTCCAAGAACTCTGCTCATGTACTACACAAATTTCGTCTCCTCTCCAGAAGGTTACTTCCAAACCGTTATATGCAATTCGCCTGAATTCGTTCCTACAGTCGTGAACCACGATATGCATTATATCGCTTGGGACAACCCTCCGAAACAGCATCCTCATGTCCTGAACTTATACGACACAAAAAACATGGTAACAAGCGGTGCGGCATTTGCCCGTAAGTTTAGGCAAGACGCTCGTGTTTTGGATCAAATCGACCACGAGTTACTCCACCGTCAAAATGGGAGCTTCACCCCAGGTGGGTGGTGCAAGGGTGACCCTTCTTGTAGCAAGATTGGGAAACCCGCAAGGCTAAAACCAGGCCCAGGTGCTCAAAGGCTTCGCCGGCTTATCGGCAAGTTACTTCAACCACCTAAGTTTAACGATAGTCAATGTCGATAGGTATGAAGTAGAACCGAAAATTAGTGTATATTTCAATATATGCTATATAGCATTTTTGCTTGTGGATGAAAGGGTGAAACTTGATTACATATAGCTAGTTCAACCTGCAATCTGCATGCTGAACAGTGATCATATTGTATCGAAAGCACAATGCTTTTTTGTTGTTTATGTTCGATTTCGGTTTCGGTTAGTGTTAGTACTATACGACCTTTTTGCTTGTAGTTTCCTTTTTCTGGAAACCGTGGTGTCTGAACCAGCTTGTGTACACCTCGACTAATCTAATGAGACCTTGAAGTCATAAAATCCCTAGTGACCCTCGGGATATTCGAATTGGCGCTATGGGGAGGAGCATAAAGACCTAGTCTTTATTTGACAACCCTTTTGCTTGTAGTTTTTTTTTTTGTGACAGTGGGTATCTGGACCAGCTTGTGCATACCTCGACTAATTCCACAAGGCTCTGAAAATAAGAAAATCCCTAGCGAGCCTTCATGGGACTGAACTAGCAACCAATAGGGAGGAGCCCAAAGACCTTTGCCAATCTTTTTGCTTGTATTTTTCTTTTTCTGGTAATTAGGGGTGTTTGGACCAACTTGCGCACACATTGATTAATCTCAAAAGATCCTGAAAATAAGAAAATCCCTAAGGGAGTGTTTGGTACACTGCACATGACAGAATAAAACATGGATCCTTGATCCATGTTTGGCAGGAATTTATGTGGAAGTGACAGTAATAGAGTGGAACAAGCATGTTTCACTCCTACCCCAATGAAACATGGTGGAACAAACTCATATTTTATCAATATAACTTCAAAATAAAACTTAATTATCATATAAAACATCAAATGTCCTATTTCTACATTTTATTCATTCTTTAAATTTTATTTATTGTATTTTATGTTTTTTAAACTTTCATTTTACTGTTATCAAAATATTGTTTTTATACAATTTCTATATTTTTATTATTTATATAATTTATTATATATTAGTGATAAAAAATAATGTATAAAGGGGATAAAACAAAAATTGGAGACTACATAAAATTTTATTTTGATGTCATTTTTTATTGTTTTGATGAAAACGTTCTAATAATGTATTTCGTTGTAAAAAACAATTATTTTATTATAATTTAATAAATTACATAAATTAATCAAAATGTATAGACAATTCATTAGGGGTAAATTGGTCATTTTACTTGTTCTGTTCAGTTCTGTCCTACCAAATGCTAATCAGTTGTTTTATTATGTTCTGTCATATCTTGTCCGGATACTAAACGCACCCTAATGAGCCATGAGAATATTGAACTCGCGACCTATGGAGAGGAGCACGAAGAGCTAGTCTTTATTTGCTAACCTTTTTGCTCGTAGTTTTTTTGGCAACTACGAGTGTCCGGACCAACTTGTGCATACCTCGACTAATCCCATAAGGTCCTGAAAAAAAGAAAAGCCCTAGTGGGTCCTAAGGAGACTGAACTGGTGACCTATGGGGAGGGTCACCAAGACCTAGTCTTTATTTGCAAGTTGAGCTGATTCTACCCTATGCTTTGACTTTCACTATGGGATTGACCAAGGGTGTACCTGGGTTGGGCGGTTTTTGACATTTTTGCACCCCAACCTAATTATGGGGGTTTGGAAAATCTCAACCCAAACCAATTAGGGGGGTTGGAATTCATAAAGTTGGCAAATGAAATATGATAAATAATATTAAAAAATATACCCAACAAAGTCATTAGTTATTACAATCATCCAAAAATATATCTAAATCCTCAAGTCTTGGAATCAAATTTCAAAAGTTTAAATGATAGCATCCGATTCAAATCCTCAATCAAGTACGAACGTCTTGGACCTTCCCGACTCCGATGTTGCATTCTCCTTGAATTTGTCTAGCTGAAAACGAGTGAAAGAAATCATACCTGTAGCAAGCAGAAAACAATTTACTCACAGGCTCACATCAACCACATTCCCGTAGCAAGTAAGCAAACACAATCTCATAGACCGTAGCAAGCAGAAAAGGATTCGGGAACTCAAGAAGCAAAATTGGGGACGAGAACGAGAGCAGTCCGGTTGGCAGCAAGCGAACAACCAAGTCCAGTTGGCAGCAAGCCAACAACCACAGTTCGGTCGACATTCGGTAGCCACGATTTGCATATTTGGGGACGCTAGACGAGTAGACGAGTAGAAAACGTGAAGTCGAGAATTGAATCAGTGAATTAATTTGAGTATTGGTCCTATTGGACTTAAGCTAGACAATAGTTGGATAAAGTTCAGGCTATAAATTGGACAAGTGATACATTTATTTAATTTTTGGGTTGTATATTAGACTAAAAAAATATACATATTTTTGGGCTGTAAATTATAATTTTGTAAATAACAAACACACATATATACACACACATAATTTTATAAAAATAATATATATCAGCTGTGGGTTGGCTGTTTGAGTTGGGTTGAGTTATGCTAACCCAATTCCAACCCTCCTAATTAGTGGTTTGGCATTTTGACGGGTTGGATCTAATTGGGTTGTTAGCGAGTTGGGTTGGACAGGTTTCACGGATTGACGGTTTTTTTAAGGGTAGATTCGGAAGGTATACCCTTAAAAAAAAACACATGCTCCTCTTCATTCATTATACCAAGAAAACAGACAAAATCACAGTAATAATATGGTTAAATATTGTATGATATTTATATTGCTCAAATGTATGTGAAACTGCAAAAATGTCGATATACATGAATAGATTTCACCTTTCTCTTCTGAGTTTTATGCACAAATGACCTGCATACCCCTAATCCCAAAATTTCTTTACTGAAATGCCCCTGTTCTACCCAACCTTTTTAGGCTTCTTGCTTTGGTCCTTCAAAGATCCCAAAACTAGACCATCTCCAAGATCTTGATATTTCCCATAGAATTTGCAGCAATCAAGGTGTTGGATTGATTACGCCAACAGACGGATGAGATGAATTGCTCGGTGTCGTCCACTTCATTTCCGGATATTGGATCTGTGGTGCTGAATCTATAAGACAAAGCAGGCATAGGGAAAGCTTTGTGGTAGATGACAACCTGTTTAGAAACAGAAAAAAAGGAAAGCATATGATGAACATTCAAGGAGATGAAAAGCTTCTTTCCAAGTATGTTGGTTGTTTCGAAACACCAACACAAACCGGGTAAGTGCTGAATGATTAAGGGGGCGTTTGGTCGGTTGGTTCTATTAAGTCATGTACAAATAAACTTGTCTGTATAGATTGTGAATGTTTTTGTTTGGGAGAGTTGTTTCATAGAACAGGGAGAGAATGGCTTGGAAAAAGATTGGTTTTCCTCCTTAGAAGCTTACTGGATAAGCCACTTTCTATATTATTAAGCCACTACCCACTACCAAACAGTCATACATAGTTGATTGAATAAGCTATTGGTCCTATTAAGCTCATTAAGCTGCTAACAAACAGGCCCGGAGTATGGACAAAGCTGTCTGTATGGATTGATCTGTATGTATAGACTGGGAAGGTATTTGTTTGAAGGGAGTTGTTTCATAGAAGAAAGGAGCATGCATTTTTTAAAAGGGAGGGGCAGGTTTGGAAAAATATTGGCTTCCTGCATGAAGTTTTCCCATAGAAGCTTACTGAATAATCCACTTTCTATATCATCAAGTCACTACCAAATAGTCATGTATAGCTGACCCAATGAGTTGTGAGTTTCATTAAGCTGCTAACAAACAGGCCCTAAGAGTGCGATCTAGGTAAGCACCGACTGCAAATGGTTGTTTACCAAGTTTCAGGGTAAGCACTGACCAAGTCAGAAAACAATCCCTTTACTGGGTCGGCATATTTGTGGGTCAGAGTGTGTTGGTAAACAACATCCCTTCTTACTGGGTAAGCACCTCTTACACGGTAAGAGGTGGTCAGCAGGTAGCAAACAGCCTCTTAAAGTGTCGAGTACAACAATTCTGTAGACCGAGAAGATTATCTGGGAATTACCTCATTTGTTTCTGAACCAGTAGCGATATAGCCCTCGGATACCGATAACCCGACAAAATTCTACAAAAAAGCACAAGAATTTTCATCACTTATAGGTTCAGATTAGTAAAAGAACCAAAATCTTGGGTTCATAAAACGGAAAAAAGAACAGATACCTTCACATTTACATGGCCGGTTAAGGTCTGAATCGGACAGTCAAGAACACGAGACGTGCAGTCTGACAAATCCCAAAGCTTCATCGTGTTATCCGTTGACGATGATACAAGAGTTGTTGAATCTAGAAACTTGATGTAGCTTACGGTTTTATTGTGCCCGACCAATGTGCAAAGCGGTATGCTTAAATTGCGTAGATCATAGTAATACACTCGATGATCTGCTGAACCGAATGCAAGAAAATTTCCGGGATCAGAAGGGAACTGAACACAACAGACGTTGGCCTTTGTTCTAATGGTACCGATACTCGCTCCCTGCATTAGGAATAAGAAAAACGACTTATTATGTCCAAATTATAGATCCGATCACTCCAACAAAGTCGGCTTTATAAGGCGTCAAATACTTCTAAGGAGCTGTTTGGTTGGTTTTCCATTTAAATTCTGTATAGATAAAGTTGTCTATGTGCATTAATAATTTAATATATCAGTATAAAGTGGGAAAGTTTTTGTTTGGGAGGGTTTTTTATTAGATGGAAGAAGCAGCTTGGAAAATACTTGGATTTCTGCATAAACCTCCACCTATAAGCTTATTGAATAAGTTTGTTTCTATATCATTAAGCCATTATCAAACAGTCATGCATAGCTGACCAAATAAGTTGCAAGTCTCATTAAGCTGCTAACAAATAGGCCGTAAATGTCTTAATAGATTTCAAGTTCACAGGACGCTTTTGGACGGTCTAACAAGTTTTTTAGAAATAAAGTGTCGTATTAGCTTTTTTGTACGACATTTTTGAGAAGCGTCCTACGAACACATCTTTTTATAGGATAATGTTTTTTTCTTCAAAAAATGTCATATAAAAGGATTAATATGACACTTTATTTCAAAAGTATCCTAAAACGTCCCATCAACTTATTGTACGATTGTTTGGTCCTATAAACTTAAGTCATATAAAACAATCAATTAGAATATTTAGATGTATTTGACGTCCTATAAAGCCAATTTTTTTTTTTTTGTAGTGGATACTTTTAGTTTGAACTAGAATTGCCTGATTGACGTTCCAGAGCTTAACGGAACCATCGTCACTGCCACTGGCCAGCAAAGTCGGATCGGCCGAGAAGTCCACAGACCACACACGTCGCTCGTGCTCCCTCATTTCAGCAGATACTTGGTTTTGTGTAACATCCCACACCTGAAATTCTTCTAATGAACAAACCAATGCATACTAGATATTCGTAAGTTAAGAAAGTAGACGATGCGGAGGGTTATTTAGCTAAATGACCTCCCGATAACTGGTTTTCAAATCCATAGCCTTCTGACAGGTTTCTAGGCATTCTTGTGTACAAAAGTATAAAACTGGCATTCTTGACATTCTCAAATTTGTCAGGAGATCATGAACCCGACAACTATTTTTCAAATCCATAACCTTCTGACAAGTTTCTAGCCGTTCTTGTGTATGAAACTGGCATTCTTCTATTAAACAGTGATATTCTCGAACTTGTCGGTAGATCATGAACCCGACAACTGGTTTTCAAATCCATGACCTTCTGACAGGTTTCTAGGCATTCATATGTACGAAACTGACGTTCTCCTGTCAAGCAGTGACATTCTCAAATTTGTCAGAAGATCATGGACCCAACATTCCGACAGGTTTCTAGGCATTCTTGAACTGACATTGTTCTGTTAGGCAGTGACATTCTGAAACTTGTCAGAAGATCATTGAATTTTTTTTTAAAACCCGACAAAAGGTAATTTTACCAAAAGACCCCTTGTGCCAGATTACCTGCACTACACCTTCAAAATTACTAGAAGCAATCTGGCTCTTGATATAGCCATTCCAACAAATACTGCTTAGCTTTGATCTAGTCGGGATTTCGACGATCGGGAAATGGAAGTCTTGATTCTCGTTCAATATCGAATCGTATTCAAAAACTTTAATTTTCTTGTTTACACCCGCTGTTGCGAAAAACTCCCCATCGCGATCGAAACCCAACGAGCATATAAGATTCGACGAATTCAAAAGATCTCCTTGTTTCAAATCTGCTTTCACTTTCAATTTACTAAAGGACATGTATTTGGATAGTCCCTCCAAGAATGGATTTATCCACCCAATTTGCCCTTCCGACGGAGAATTAGTTTCCAAACTTACGGACCCTTTTCCGTCACCATTTACTGCTCGATTTCTAGCCAACGGTTTGCCGATCGATTTCGAGGTCTTGTGCCTGGTCAAAAAGTAAGCCGATTCTAGTTTCTTGAAGTTTTTCATCAATCTAGAACTAACCGGGACATTTTCTTGATTTTCTTGATCATCAGATTCGTCAGCATTATGGACCTGCGCTAGCGTTCTGATTCGTTTTCTGGACCCCGAGCTTGCAGAATCGTTGTTTTGAGAAAGATCCGTAGCATGAAGACGGTTTTTTCTAATAGATGTTTGCAATTTCGTAACTTCCTTCAAATCGGAAGTTAGAAATGAAACATCCCGTTTCAAGAAATCCGCAGCTTCCTGCCTTCGTTTTTGCAGAACTAATAGAAATTCCAGCAACATATCCTGCTCAACGATCTTTTCTTCGAGTTCGATCACGGCTTCTCGTTCTTCTAGATTTTGTCTAGGTCCTTTAAGAAGCTCACTTTCTAACACTTCGCTGATAGAACGTAAAAAGAAGTAGGCATAAGATCATGGGAATAGATAACGGAAACCGACCCAACTGGAGAGCTGAATGGAATCAACGCTCATTACAACAAAATCGGCTTTACAGGACACCAGAAATGTCTCAATGTCCTAATAGACTGCTTTATTAAGACTTAAGTTTATATAACCAAATATTTGTGCGTTCTATGTAAAGATGTTAGAACAAATTCGGGTATCCGAACAATTTTTTTATAGGACAAGTGTATGAGCACATATTTTTATAGGACACTGGCTTTTATAAGACAGGTTTTTTCAAATAATGTTGTATAAAAAAACTAATAGAACGTTTTTATTTCAAAATTGTCCTAAAAAACTTGTTAGAACGTCTAAAAATATCTTACCAACTTATTGTAAACACATGTACATATGACGAAGGGTCGACCTATGAAGGCCCCAACGGGTCCCATGCACCTGTATAAAAGATGCACACGCTGAACTTCAAGGGGTGTTCCAAGATATTAGAAAATACAAGGAACATCAACCAAAAAACCGAAAAGTCTCTTGAAATAAACCGAATCTAAAAACGTCCCTCGAAATCAACCAAAAACCTTCAAAAATTCCTCGAAATCAATAAAATAAAAAAAAAAGCTTAAAAAATCCCTCCGACGGTGGAATTCGACTAAAAAACCATCGGGTAACTTTGTGAATCTTTGATCCACCTTAAAGGTGGATCCGCTCGGCAGAAATCCTGGGTCCGCTGTTGCATATGACGCATAATTGTTTGATCCCGAAAACTTAAGTCCTATAAATCAGTATATTATGACATTTAGACTTTTTTTACATCTTATAAATCAGTCTATTATGACATTTAGACATTTTTGGCGTCATATAAATCGATCTGCTATGACATTTTGACATTTTTGGCGTCATATAAATCGGTCTGCTATGACATTTTGACATCTTTGACGTCCTATAACACAGTCTATTATGACATTTAGACATTTTTGACATCCTATAAAGCAGTCTATTATCCTATAAAGCCCATTCTCTCCTAGAAAGCGTTGCAAGGGGAAATACTCACTCGATCTTCGGTCTGCTGGCGGGATCAGGATGCAATAGCCGCATAGAAAAGAAGGCTTCTTTCGGCCACTTCAAATGTAACTGAGGCGGAAAGACACGATGTCGGAGGTTCGACATAGTTGCGTTCTTTTCCGGTGATGAACTACAAGGGCAATATAACTGTTCATGGAAATAAACCCAAGTGGGTTATAGAAGACGATAACCCAATCTTCAGATAGTTCTCTGATTCAAGATTCGGAACAAGAAAGCGGAAATTAAGCGAAAAAAAGAGAACCATATGAAGCTGAAACCAAAACTAGACATATATATATATAGACGGAGGTTAAGGAGAAAACCGAGAAACACCCAGATAACCATTCATCTGGACATTATGCACATGTGCATACAAGTATTGAAGTTGTTTCTTGGTTTTTACATGCACATGCATACCAGACAAATTGCTTAGAAATTACTTGTATGCACATGTGCATACCAGAAGAATTTTCCCTGGTGTTCCTTAATTTTTCATTTTTTTACGGTTTTCCTTAAACCTGACCCTATATATATAAGTGTGTATAGAGATATACAAACCTCGAAAAGAAGAACCCCTAATCGATAAACATCCGAAGCACAAGAACTTGGACCACCCGCAGCCTCTTCTGGACTTGTATACCACTTTGTTTCCATTTCTAGAATCGGTTTCATCGGAAATCGGTGCTTCTGTTCTTCGGTTTCTTTAACTTGGTCGGAATCTAATCCAGACCAAGTGTTTTCTAGTTGGGAATTGCAGGTTTCTAGAGCGTTTTCCGGTTTCGAATTCGATTTCTGGCTGCAACTTGTTACATCCACGAAACAATCCGAACCAGAATCCGAATCCGAACCCGACACAGATTCTATAAACGAAACATCATTAAATGAAGACATAACAAAGCACGACGGTCGAACAGTATGAACGATAATCCCTTCGGAATGCGCTAAGCTTACGATCTTTACGATCTGCATAAAGATATGCAAGCATTCGAGCGGATCAACAGTTCGATTTTCGCTATCTAACCACTGTCTCAAGCTAACATCTTTGACCTCTAACGGGTCAAAATCTTTTTCTAGTTTGGTAGCATGATTCCGATCAAACTCGCCGGAAAAAATGGTGGTGGTGGCCGGAATTGATCTAGGGTTTCTATTACTAGGTCTCTGCCAACCATTTTCCGACGAGTTATCCATTAAAATGGATCAAAATCCTCTCAATTCTACAACATGAAATCACTCCAATCAACGCCATCTTTAATCAGAACAGCATTTTATGAACCCTAATCCAATTCTCAGCATCTGAATCAAAAAACCCACAAAAAAAATCATCAAGAAATGATCCTGGTTTTGGAAACCCATATGAGAAAAACATAGAAAGAAGTGTCTGTAATACCAGAAATCGCCATTAATGGAGCTTGAGATCTTGTTCTGTAAACAAGAACCATAGAAATCAAATCTTTAATTGGAAAGAAGGTGAATCTTGAGATTGGGTAATCATGATTTGGTGCCACAGTGGAAGAAATAGAAAATAGAAATGGAATCTTCCTCCCAGATAACCGCCGTCGTCTACTTGTTTATAAATCAACATGTTTATGATCTGAATATAATATTAGATATATAATATGTATATATATATATATGTGTGTGTGTGTGTGTAAATGAACTAGAAAAAGACCAGAATTGATGATGATGACGATGATGATAGGAGATTTTTTTGAAGCCCTAAACTGACCCATCGATTTGTAACCCACTCTTTTGGTTTCTACCTTTTGTTTTACGTTGATGACGTGGCACGTTCATGTCCTCGGCTTTATATGATCAAATACGATAAGAGGACAACACGACTCCTGCCCCTTCGTACTATTTGCTGCTGTATTACCAAACCAAACCTAACATCGATGATTTCGATAAACGATTGTTTGACAGTTGTTGAATGATTTGCCGTAGAATAATTAAATGGTTAGAATGTTGTAAGCGCCTTTTTTTATATAGTTTAAATGAAATATGGTTTTTTGGTAACTGTTTATAATGAATTAGGGTGTTTAATGGTTTAGATATAACCATTAAAAGTTATATTTTTTTTGTCAAACAAGATTCATCTCTTAACGATTCAGATATTGTCCCTTAATAAAACTATTAGATTGGACTACACTGGAGCGGGATTGAATGGGCGAGATTGGTCTGAGCAAAATGAGACTAAACTCACGGTCAGACCTATTATGTCCCAAGCGAGGTCTCATGCACTCGTTAAACTTATTTTTGTAAGTAGACCATTTTTGTAATACCGAACTACCTCAGCGGTGGAACTAAACCCCACATGTATAGAACTCATACCGAACTACCTCAGCGGTGGGACTAAACC